GCCGTCGCGGAGCTGCGCACAGAAGGCGGGCTTAGAGGGGAGGGGAGACACAGCATGCACCACGAAACAAAGTGATTCGTAGGAACCCGGCAGCTGGAAAGAACGGTGTTCTATACACTGGCAATTGTAGTGAACATGGGTCGAAGTGCCAAAATCAAGATTTCCCAGCTTACACTTTTAAATGAATCTATGCCTAGACCAAAAACAAGAACAACATATATTTCATTGTATAGGCCAACAAATGCCATCAGTAGTACCAAGAAATAATCTTGAGTCTACGTAGGCACTTCCTTATTTTCTACAAACCAAGTACTTGGCACATAGACCCCTGTGAAACTAAACGCTTCGATTGTAAACAGAGCGTCATAATGTATTCGTATGTTTATAAAATTGTGAATCCCTAAAATGTTTGTTAATGAAGCTTAATGACCTTATTCTGAAGCTCCGCCTTTCATTGCATCCTTTGCGCACTGTTGCGCAGTAATGTGCTTCCACTATAGCACTGCTACTATACGAGAATAATATACAATGTCCGTTTAGTATAGTGTCATAGTTAGCCAACAAACCTGGGCAGTAATGCCTTTTGCGATGAGCTCTATTATAATCGGTCGTCATGTGGTGGAGGGTCGATAGCACTGGAGCACTATGTGCCACGTTGAAATACCGGTATTTTGATTTGGAATTTATGAATTTCTCCAAGTGAAATTTGCGGACAAATCGGGTACGTGGTATTTTCCATTTCACTGGCCCTTTTTCAAAGTTTGTGTCTTTTTACGACATCTTGAAGCCAGAATGATAAAAAGGGAAACGCATTCAGGGAGGACGTGTCAATGGTCAAGCTAATGATTTACAATGTGACATACGTGAGACTGGTCTGCAGTTGAGGATACTACAAGGAGAGTTGTACATTGGCATAACACGCTCGTTTCTATGAAGGTACACTATTAATTTATTTAACAGAGATCACACCGCGATCAAAACTTCAAAGTCAGGCTTCATCAGCATGAAAAACAGTGTGGTGCCCAACGTTTGCATATATTAAGCATACTCCAATCAATTCAATGCCTTTTTTAGAATTTATTATCAATGTTTTAAAACGTTCACTGAATCTATGCAGACCCCAACGCTGTGAGCGAAAGGCAACGAGGGCGCACTCACCTCCACCGACGTGAAGTCCTTGTTGGAGGCCGCGAGCAGCAGGAGACCGTCTCGGCGCAGCGTGCGGAAGGAGAGGCTGAGGCTCTTGGGCGGCGCGTGGCCGGCCTGGCGGCCGGGGCGGGGCGGGGCGGCGGGCAGGCGGGCGAGGGCGCGCTCGCGGCGGCCGGCCCGCTCCCACAGCGTGAGCACCCGTACGCTGCTCCCACGCAGACTGCATGCCGGCGCCGTGCTTGTCGAGCCCGCGCAACCCTCGATGGCGGCCGCGTCGGCCAGCGCCAGAGGGGCGACGCCGGGCGCAGTCGGGCGCGGCCAGCACCCCCCCGCACGCGCAACAGCCGGCGCGCAGCGCCACGAGCTCGAGCCGCGCCCGGGCCCGCGCCGGGCCGCCCCGCCCCGCGCGCCGCCCCGCGCCCGCCGCAGCGCCCGGCGCCCTCCTCGGCTGCGCCGCGCCCGCGGCGGCCCCGCCCGCCGCCCCCGCCCGCGCCCGCCCTCCGCCGCCTCCGTCCTCGCCGCCGGGCGTGGACGAGCCCCCGCCCCCCCTCCCCCCGGCGCCGCCGCACCGGCGGCTCCGAGCGCTACCCCCCGCCGCCCGCCCGCGCCCGCACACGCCCCAGTCCGGCTGCAGTGGGCGACCCACCGCCCCGCCCGCGGCTGCACGTGGGCGACACGCCCCGCGCGGCCAGCGGGTTGCTCAGGTTCAGCAGCCGGCCGTTCACCGCCACGCTGTGCACGCACCCGACCAGGTCGTCCGCGTGGATCTGGCCCGGGCGCTCCAGCACCGGGTCGGCCGACGCCAGCCCGCCCACCAGCATGGGTTGGTTGTTGAAGTTGAGGGTCCTGCGGGAGGAGGGACAGCTCAGTTCGGGCCTTGCAGGCGACTGCAAAATCCTTCTATATTTCCCTTTGTTCCTCCTCTGTACTTCTTACGCCCGTACTCACGGCAATCGTGAAAAATTCGAACGGGTATATCAGACAATTGCAAGGCAGCATCGAGGGATATGGAATAATTATAGTATTTTTAGATATTCACGTACAATATTTTGTGACATTTTACTTATAAAATTATCGTGATTTTAGACCAGAAATTGTCACTTCGAAAGGTACTGTCATCAGCCATCGAGAACCTTTTGTGGGATGATGTTTGTTTTACGAATCATCAAGAGAAGGTAGATTTTCTATTGACTCCGGCCGTGAAAGCCTACGATACTCTATGAATCATCAAGAGTTTTATTTCTTTTCCAGTTTAATAAATTATATAGAAAATGTTTACACATGTCTTTCCCAAGAACGCTAGAATATTTGGTCATCAATATTATGAAGAAGTGCTGTTCTGATGTCCGTGAATGGGGCTTGGCATAAACCCTCCGTCGGGGCTCCGCTGCCCCCCTGTCCAGTTGGAACCGCGGAGCGTCAACTCACCCGGCGGGTCCCGTGGCGTCCGCGTAGCAAGACGCGTCGCCGGGCCGGCAGTCCTCGCAGGCGTCGCCGTTGTCGGTGCAGGCGGCCACGCTGAGGGCGATGACGCGGCCGTTGCGCGTCGCCGTCACCTTGTGCCACTCGCCGTCGGCCAGCGAGCCCGCGCCGCCGCCGCCCTCGCTCACGCCGCCGCCGCCTCCGGCCACGCCCACCGACACCGAGGTGATGGCGGTGCGCGCGCCGCCGTACGAGAACACCGCGCGCCCGCCCACCAGCTCCAGCGCCACGAAGTCTGACCGCCCGCCGGTCTGCGCGCCGAAGTTGTACACGAGCAACGCGTTGGGCTTGCCGGTGGCGAACACCAGCGAGATGTCGTTGGTGCCGGCGTCCAGCGACGGGAACGCCATGTACGAGAGCTCGCCGAAGCCGAAGGTCGAGCGCTCGCAGTGCGGGCCGTACCTGTGGAGAGAAGACCCCACTCTGTGGTTGCAGGGAGCGCACGGCAAGCGCGCGGAATCACAAGGAAGCAGATATCTAGTTTAATGTATTTACTCTTCTTTCTGCCCCGCCCTGTTCTCACCTAACTGTTATCAAAAAACAGGTATGTCTATGTAGCAATCTGTGGTAAGTTGATTTGAAACGTCTGTTTGAGTCTCACGCATGAAAGTTAAGAATATTTTAACGAACAGTACTTAGAGATGAATGTTGGTCTGACTTTAGATGCTATTTTTACTTCTGTGGATTCACTATACCTCAATATTTTATCGTAGGATAGTGACATTTATTTTAAGATCTTTTTTTTTTTGTATCAAAGAAATGCCATTCATTATCGTCAAGGATCATTACGCTAAGCACATAATTTCACTATTTTCATCCGGTACAATATTCAAGTGTAACTACTTCTCTAGTTTTTCACAGGAAACCCCGAGAAACTGCGATTAACAAACTTTAAGTATGGAATGAAAATTACACTCAACTTGTTTCAAGAAGAAGTCAAGTGAGTGAAAAGAGCGACTTACCTGGCGCGAGGGCAGCTGCAGCGGTAGCCCGGTCGCAAGCTGATGCAGAGGCCG